TATTCTATTCTATTCTATTCTATTCTATTCTATTCTATTCTATTCTAGTGAAGAAAACACAAACAGAAGCAGTAGAATGCAACTTCCGAGATCTGCAAGTGGACATCGCCCACCGCCCAGAGGCTACCATACAAGGACAAACCATGCACTACAAAGTTTGTTTGGAAGTGGGAGAAACTTTGAATGTAATTTACCAGACTCCTTGCATGGATTGCCCCTGCAACTATGTGGGACAGACAGCTAACCACTGTCTGACCACTGTCTGAATATGAGTGAGCTGTTAAAAGAGGAGACCCTAAATCATTGGTAGCCTCACACTGCAATGAACAAGGACATGCATTCAGCTTTGCAGCTACTAGATTGTTGGGTGAACAGGAACAAAACTAGCCAGAGAACTGATTGCAGCCTGGGAAATGGGTCCCTTGTCAGTCAACAGGAGGGCTGATTTACCACCAGTTAGGAGTTGAGGGCATATTGGCACAAGGATACAACAATCAATGATTTAATAGTCAGCCATCAATACCCTAATTAAGAACTAAAATATACACACAACCAGGCACCATATAAACACAGCCCAGTGCATATATTTTGGAGAGAGAGAAGGTCCCTGAGGATCGGCTCCAGCAGAATCCCGAAAGCTTGGAAAAATAAACCTATAGTTCTGGTGACTGACTCAGATTAGATCCGGCAATGTTATCCTGGGATGTGTACATTTATCTTCATTTGCAAAACACAAACTGTAGTAAATTTTCATTTTTGAAATTCTAAACTAAGAGAGTTATAGAACAGGGATCAGGAAAACCTTCCATCGGACTGTCAAAATGAAGGACAGAACAAGGCGATTGCCAGAAGCTGGCTTAGATGCAGTAAAGAGGGGCATAATTACTGTCTTTGGGGCCACTGATAGAATGGTAGGAGGACTGTAGTTTTTCTTACTTTCGTGATATGAGCAGCAGTCTTTTTGTGGAGAAAGCAGGATTTATGGGCACACCAACAAGCTGCTGGGACTCTGATCCTTTTTCCCTCGCTACCAGTTGAGCTGCATCTTGCGTTCGCAAGATGGAAGATGGAATGGAATATTCTTTATTGACCAGGTGTGATTAGAAATACAAGGAATTTGTCTCTGGTGCATAAGCTCTCAGTGTACATGCAAGCAACAAAGTGATAAGTCATAGATCATAAATCATAAGATACAATCATAAATCATAAGATACAAACAAGTGATAAATAGCAATAACACTTAGACTTATACCATTTCATAGTGCTTTACAGCTCAATAATCTGGGTCCTCATTCTACCAACCTTGGTGTCATGCCCCTGGTGGAGACTGACTCTGAGGGAGAGGAGGAACAGCTGACAGGGAGTGGAAGTGTGGCCCTGGGGGTTGTGGAGGAGGCTGGGGAAGGGCAGAGGCCCGCTGAGCAGTCAGAAGAGGACCCAGGCCATCCCTTCTCCATCCTAGGGCAAGCAGGGAGAGAGGATAAGGGAGAGACCTGGTCTACTTGGGAGAAGAGGGCCTTGATTTTATTCATGGGCTGCAGCTTTGACAACTGAATAAGAGGACGGACATGTGTATGGGCGAACGCTGGAAACAAAGTGTGGCAATATCTCTAGTTTATGGTTCCTCTCTGAGTTTGGCGTCCTTCCCAGTGTGTGTTATCTGTGGATGTCCTCCAGCCCTTATCTTGCCTGGTTTGTGTTGCTTTTTTTTCTTTTTCTTGTAACTGTTTGTGTGGGAGTTTTTTGTCTTCCGTCAAGAATATTCGGAGCTTGGAAGCAAAGTGAAGGAATAAAAGGGGCTGTTTTCTATGTCTATGTTTGTTTTGTATCCCACCCTGGGTCATCACACTTGGAAGGGTAGAAGATTGAGTCAACTTTGAGCCGGACAGAATTGAACTCCTGGCAGTTAGCAGAATTAACCTGCAATGCTGCATTCTAACCACTATGCCACTATGGCTCTTATGATCCTATTGGTATCATAAGGAAGGAAGGAAAGATAAGAAGATGATATACTATTTCTTCTCTTGTTATATAATAATATAATATAATACTGTATATATATAATGTTTTTGTTATAAGCAAAATAAGCAGATCACAGGTTTTTTTCTGTGAAGATCAAAGATGCTGCTGTTCAACTCTGACCTATGTTGCAGCAAAGGAGGATGAAAAAAAAGACTGCTGGTCATAGTTAATCAGTTGATCAAAAAAGAATGCACTTCCACAGGAATTGTAGTTACTTATTGTAGCAATCTAGTGCCTTGAATTATTCAAGTTGTGCAAATGACAACTCTACTCTGATCCCATCTGCCCAGATTATCTTGGCTTTGAAAATAGGAAATAAGAGAGAAGAAAATAAATATTTTTTTTTTAAATATGTGCTCTGAATGTCTAATATCAATTAAATATATTAGTGCCCCCCCCCCCCCAATTAGGCGTGAAGCCAGCTTGGGCCAGTAACTTTTTCTCAGGCTTAGGAAGGAGGCCATGGAAAATCATAAGGGACTTATCCAGGCAGTCTCCAAGAATTGGGCATGATTGAATGGAAGACAAAAAAATCTCTAAATAAGAGATTGCATACATCTCACCCACAGAGATGTTCAGAACCCATAAATACTGTTTATTACACATACTAGACTGCCCCTGCCAACTGAGAAAGGCACAGTTAAAAATGCAGGATGACTGCATTTTCTTCGCTAGGATCTGGCAGTTGGCCTTTTCAGTACAAACAAACCAGCAATGGCATCCAAGCAGTGACAGCTCCTGGAGACAAGAGATGAAATATTTTTGCCGAGTCGATGCTCAGCTTGGAAAGATTCCCTAAAAGAGGATCTTTTCCCAGTGCTAGATGGTATAGGATCTTTCTGTTATCGTTTGGGCTAGTTTCCAGGTAGGGGATCTTTCCCAGCTATCCTATCTGGAAACTTGCCTAGATGATACAGGAAGGCATGCTGCAGCCCTACACTTTTATCTTAATGGGGCAAGCCAGTTAGTAAGCTGTATCCTTACCTTTCTTCAGGTTGGAGAGTGCAGAGACCAGGGCTGGGTCGATGTCACAGGTGAGTCCTGCAGCTGTGGCCAGTTCAAAGATGCTCAAAGTCACCTAAAGGAATGGCAGAACCAGAACTTATGAGAGGGACAGAATTGCTGCTGGACTTTGTCCCTTTTCTCTTTCTTATAACGTTCCCTGTCAACAGGGTAGATCTGGTCTACACTGAATTAAGCAAACAACATGGTAGAATTCCAGACTGTATTACCTCAGACTGCAAATGGGCCATATTATTTTCCTGTTGTTAGAAAGAAAGCAATGAATTTTCCTGTGCTGCTAGAAAGAAAGCAACATAACTCCTCATAATTCAAACAAAAATGAAAAGTTCACGTATCTTCACCCTCCAGTGGTAGTTTTTACAAAAAGAGTACAGATTCACACTTTTTTATAAAATCAAAATGTGGTTTATTTGTTTTGGGTGTAAGCTGAAACCATAGTAAAACTGAACCTGATATAAAGCAATGTGTGATCTTCTTACTCAAAGGAAATTAAAAAAACGAGAACTTCTAATTTTCCCTCAGAAATTCGCTATTTCATTTCCATTTCATGCTATTAAGCTTCATCATTATAATAAATGTACACATGTGCAAAGCTTATATTTGACACTCAGCCATTTTCTACACATTATAACTGGCTGTAGGAAACACAGAGACTCATGATGTAATGACATTACATCACAAATGGAGATTTGATCGGCATCACTATTTGGCTTTTTGTCACTCAGAAACCACTTCTCCTCGCACCAAGATGAAAAGGAAATATTGGATAATTCAACATTGTTTTGTCTACAGTTAACCTAGACAGGACGCAAGACAGGTTGCCTCTACTTTTCCATCCTTGTTAGTCTTTTGTCTCAGTAATATTTGCATATTCAGAAACAAAACCAATGAAGCAAAGCAAAAAAAAAAAAAAAAAAGCAAAACCAGAGATATTCAGAGTAATTGCTAAGGCAGACCTAAAATAAAATGTCATGTAGGTAAGTGCTGTTTTCATTGTAAAAATATAACAACAGATGCTTGCAAGTCTGAGTGTGCTCCTTCCCACCCTTTATCTTTTGGAGAATTGTGGAAGGTCTCATTTGAGGCATTTACTCAGGTTACATTCCTGCCCTGGATCTAGTCCTCTTTTGTTGTCTTGATCCTCCCCGTCCCTCAAGGCCATTCTTTCTGCCCTCCTACACTTTGTATCTTGGCTGACTCGCTATGCTTACGCATCACACTTGCAACCAGACAATAGAAACAGAGAGGGAAAGAGCAGGTTTGGAATGCAAGGGAGGCTTGGGAGGCAATTGTGGAGTCCAAGAGAGCCGACTGTCACCTAGCAATGTCTTAGTGGCCAATGTCAAATGATGGGGAAGCTTCAAGATGCTCAGACCATTTCCCAAAACAAATTGACTATAATTGAATTGCTGGATAACGAACAGTGGGTGTCCCGGGGTGGGGGGGGAAGAGGGATTTTATCTATGCTGCTTTGCATGCAGAAACTTCAGAACTGGCTTTGGGTCTTCTGTACCTATATGGAACCATCAGTATACTCTTGGCGAAATAATGTCCCAGGAGTTTCTTTTGCTGCATTTGCCATAGGGACTGTTGACACTTTGCATGTAGCCGTATGATACCCATTACACACACACAGCTCTCTAAATGGGGATGAAGTCCTGAAGGAATCTGGAAGAGATGCAGTTTTTAGTTTGAATTTTAATGTAGATTCATTAGTATATTAATTCTCCCAAATATAAGACTATGACTATCCAGTCCATTTCTTTGACAAAGTGACAAAATTAGTGGACCAGAAAAATGCTGTGAATATAATTTACTCGGTCTTCAGTAAGGCATTTGGTAAAGTAGACCACAACTTACTATTTGATAAAATAGAAAAATGTGGGTTAGATAGCATCACCACTCATTGGATTCATAACTGGCTGACCAACTGCACTCAATGTGCAGTCTTCAATGCATCTACATGGAGGGAGATAAGCAGTAAGGTTCTCCAAGGTTCCGTCTTAGGCCCAGTACTCTTCAATCTCTTCATCAATGATTTAGATGAGGGGATGGGAACTCAGAAAATCTGCAAACAACACCAAGCTGGCAGGAACAGCTAACACTTAAGAAGATAGGTTTAGGATACAGGGGGATCTTCACAAACTTGAACAATGGGCCCTATCTAACAAGATGAAATGCAATGGTGAAAAAAGTAAGGTTCTACATTTAGACAAGAAAGACCAAATCTATGGGTATAGTATAGGCGGTACCTGGCTCAATAGTAGTAACTGTGAGTGGGATCTTGGCATCCTAGTGGACAATCACATAAATATGAGCCCACAATGTGCTGCAGTTGCTAAAAAGGCCAACACAGTCCTGGGATGCATTAATAGAGGGATAGAATCAATAATAGCACTTTATAATGCCTTGTTTTAGACCACACTTGGAATGCTGCATCCAGTTTGGGTTGCCATGATGTAAAAAAGATGTGGAGACTCTAGAAAGAGTGCAGAGAAGAGCAACAAAGATGATTAGGGGACTGGAAGCTAAAACATATAAAGAGTGGTTGCTGGAATTGGGTATGTCTAATTTAATGAAAAGAAGGACTAGGGGTGACATGATAGAAGTGTTCCAATATCTAAGGGGCTGCCACAAAGAAGAGGGAGTCAGCCTATTCCCCAAAGTGTCTGAAGGCAGGAATGGAAGGAAACTAATCAAAGGTGAGAAGCAACCTAGAACTAAGGAGAAATTTCCTGACAGAACAATCAATCACTGGAACAACTTGTCTCCAGAAGCTGTGAATGCTCCAACACTGGAAGTTTTTAAGAAGAAATTAGACAACCTGAAATAATATAGGGTTGCCTGCCTGAGAAGGGATTGAACCTCCAAGGTCCCATCCAACTCTGTTATTCATTACTTTGCACCGTAGACAACCTATGAAAGGCAAATAATGTGTTTCTGCTTTCTTACTGCCCATGTTGCCTCCCTACTGCACAAACAGAAGATCGAGTGGGAAGAGGAAGCAAAATACATCTGGTTAATTCAGGATCAGTGACAAAAGAAACAATTTCCCCCATTAGATTTGCTCAGGCAAGATCTTGCCCCTCTAGGATGCTACTTCAGTTGCCTGTGTCTCAATCTTCCCTGAACTTAGTGTGTCTACAACTACTGCCAAATGCAATTTATTTTCTCTGAGGATGGTCCTTCAGGCATACAGGCTGCCTGCCTGCTCCCCTGTCTTGTGGCAAGGCCACTTTGCATTCCTGCTGCTCCGTCACTGAAATGGGGCCACTAACTCTCTAAATCAGAGGTCTCATTCTCGCGGCCCGTGGGCCAATTGCGGCCCGCAGGACAATATCCTGTGGCCCCCACCGTGATATGAAAGTATAATATTAGTGTATAATATAAATATAAAGTATAATATAAGGTATAATATTATGCGGCCCAGCCTCACCCAGACTCTGCCTCCAGCGGCCCCCAGGTAAATTGTGTTTGAGACCCCTGCTCTAAATGTACGAACTGGATTTACATTTTCAGTTACTTCCAAGAGCCAGAAGGGAGAAGAGAAGAGGAATGAACTGATATGAAAGTCTTCTGCTGATTTCATGTAAAGCTGACAGAGAAAAGCTGGGGGCTAAAGAAAGTATTAAAACATGTATGTTTGTTTAAAGTGGAACAGGTCGGCTCCTGCTACCTTATGCCCACTTCAAGCATCTCTGTGAAATACACAAGATGATTTAAGCTGAGAGGCTGGTGGTGAATGACAGAACACCCACCCTCTCATTTAGGTAGCCTGTACCAACTCAGCACCCTTGCAGTAAACACGGGGACTTATTTCCACAGATCTTTACAATTCTCAACTCCTGGCTGTTGGTTCACATTCTGTTTTCTACAGCAAATATAAGCTCAGTTAACTTTGTAGACTGGTAGGGATGCTTTTGCCAAAAATCCAGAGCAAATTAAAATGAGATCCCCTTCCATCTTCTTGGAAGCAAATGAAAGAAAGACTATCCTTCCGCTGCAGGGCTCAAAAACATATGGCCCCCTGTGTGTCCTGAAATAAATAAAAGCATTGTGAAATCATGTGTCCCATTAATCCATGTTTTCCCTACTCTTAATCATGATGCAGTTCTGAGTTGTTAGAGGTCTGGGTAGAAAACAAACAAGGAATAAAGTTGAAAGCTGCAAACAGTGTGCTCTGCTTATACATCATACCAAGCTACAATTATAATTGCATTCAACAAATCACAGTTGCAAATATTGCTTTTGTGCTGCAAAATTTAATCTTGTGTATTTATCGATTCCGTTTACATATTGTGCTAAGACAAAAATAAGGAAGACTTTGCATTATGTGTAAATAATGAAGGCAGGACAAGAAGCAATGGGTGGAAACCAATCAAGGAGAGAAGCAACTTAGAACTAAGGAGAAATTTCCTGACAGTTAGAACAATTAATCAGTGGAACAACTTGCCTCCAGAAGTTGTGAATGTTCCAACACTGGAAGTTTTAAAGAAAAGATTAGATAGCTATTTGTCTGAAGTGGTATAGGGTTTTCTTGCCTAAGCAGGGGGTTGGACTAGAAGACCTCTAAGATCCCTTCCAACTCTGTTATTCTATTCTATTCTATTCTATTCTATTCTATTCTATTCTATTCTA